CGATCCCAATACGAAGTTCGCGAACATCAGGGATATCCATCGGGCTCAAATCGAAGCGGGTGAAAAGGAGGTTATCACGGCTGAATCCAGCGACTCTGAATGCCCTAGTGAGGCTGGCAGCTGTATTGTAGTGGGTGTGGTTGAGGATCAATAGTTAATAGTAATGAGGAGGTTGGGTTGTGATCCCATCGTTTTTGTGGTGCCAGAAACAGGGGGGTGCCAGGAAGTGGGTATGTTGACTTACTGCGGCGACATCCAGTACGACGACCACCGATGCTCCATGTGCAGCTGTAATCACAACGCGTACAAGTCCGACGACCCCAACAACAAGCAAGGCAACTGCGATCAGCCTGGCGGATTCCATCTCGGATGCGGTTATAACTCGAGCGGAAAGTGCAAATAAGGAGGCGTGAGTGGCTGTTAGCATGAAGGATATGCTAGCTCATGGTCCATGGAGAGTGTAGGAGCCACAACGTTTGAGCCGGCGTGCCAAATTTTCACAGTTGCCAGTCTGTGTAATGGGATCGAGTGCTGGAGCGGCATAGACCCATGGCCATGAGGAATGAGGCGACGTTGATGTAGGAGTGGCGTGCATCTTAAGGAATCCAGGGTTCTTGAATAGATTCATATGACATCCTTCTGGGCCTCTTGTAAAGACGCCTGGAGCGAATCTACCTCCGCTGAACAACATTTTCTACCATCATGAGACGAGATCTAGTACTGGCCGAGTCATTTACGAAGGGAAACTACATGATATGTCACGGGCTGGTATCCCCAAGTCTTGGTCGCTTCATAGTCTTGATGTGAATGGAGTTCGGTGGAATGGCCAATAGAGAGGCTTGAGAAATGGTTTGCGTTCGACTCAGTTGGCGGGTAGACTATACTAATGCGGTTACAGACGTAGGGTTTAGCTCAGATTGTTATGAGGCTGACATCTTTAGAGTTAAGTGATTTGCGAAGCTTAGTTGAAAGCAAGTCGTAAGCAAAGGCAGAAGTCCTGTTCGACTAGGTTGTGAAGGTCATGTAATACGCGAACTTGCACTTAAATCTAATGACAAGGAGCGTACTCAGCTTGAGGTGATTCTTCGGCGGAGTTACGGACTCAGTCTATCCGGACAAGAACTGTCGTTATAATTGCGCGTCAACACTTTAAGTTTCCAAGTTCCCCTGGCACCGGTGGGATGCTTTCTGGAGTACGCTGCTGTTGATGAATTAGAGTTTGATTGCCGGTCTCAACGGCATAGGCCATGCTACCGACGGGATGGAAAGGAGGCAGAGCTCAAGAGGACACGACCTCGCTCGCCGCGGGCTGTCGCATCTTCTGCTCATCCAAACCTCTTCCGCCAAGACGAACACCCATCCGCATACGTGCACCAAACGCCAACAATGGTCGCCATCACCCTCCCGCTCCTCGCGGCCCTCGCAGCAACCCCGTCGCAGCTAGGCATCGTCTGCGCGCGCTTCAAAGAATCACTCGATCCATGGGCGCCCGTCGCCGCTTCCACCTACCTCTACTCCAAGGGCGGCGTTCCGCAGATGAACGACACCGTTCAACACTCTTCGTTCCGCTCCTACGTAGCCCTTCCCAATATCGGACGAGAAGGCCACACGCACCTGCACCACATCGTAAACAACTACGATACCCTCGACGAGATCATGATCTTCACGCAGGCGGATCCCTTTGACCTCATCGCGCCCGCTGTAAACACGACAGAGCAGATGGTGCAAAAGGCGATGACCGTCCCGGCCGACGACGTGACGCCCTTTAACGACGCGCTGTTCCACGATGTCGCGGACTGGGGCAAAGTCGACTGGAACAGCTCGGCACAGAAGCTGTGGATCACGGCTAACCAGATCAAGAGCCTGCAGCTTGCGCCGTACACGCCGGCGCAGTTTTGGACGATGGTGGTAGGCGGGGAGCATCCGCCGGCGATCCGGGCGATGCACGGCGGGACATTCGCCGTTCGGCGGGAGACGATACGGAAGCTGCCCAAGGAGGCGTACCAGAAGGCGCTGAACGAGTTTGAGACGGCGAATTCGACGAATCCGGAGGTTGGCTTCTTCATGGAGCGCATGTGGGCGCCGATGTTCGCTGAGAAGTACCGGTTGCCGAGCGTGCAGAATCCATGATGGTGTTCACTCCGGTCGGGGGTCCACGTGGGGTCACCCCTTGAGTTGACGGAAGCAAAACATGAAGAAATCAAGAGACTGCGAGCAATAGAGCAATAGGATTCTGCTATTTGGCCAAAAATGCAAAAGAACACTCCTCGACGGGGAATTGAACCCCGGTCCCCTGCGAATCGTTGGATCTTCAATGACAAGCAGATATCCTCACCACTAGACTATCGGGGATTGGTGGATGTTGACATCCAGTGATAGTTGGTTGGAGGAGAATTTGCCTAGCGGCTCTATATACCCACTTCAAAAGTTGCGCCCCCAACGCCGGGTCCCCCCATGCCCACGTCGATTTCCGGAAGATCTGCAATTTGCAAATAATTCCCAAAACTCATCCTTCGAAGAAATTAATTGACTAGGTATTCATCATCATGAGCGAGTAGCCCTCTGTTTTGGTGCGAATTGCACTATCCCAACATGAATACACCGGCGAAAAGCCCACCCATTCATTCTATGGGCGTCCCACTCAGTCGCCTCTCCGAAAGCGACATCTCTCCTTCTCATGCGTATCTCGATACCACTTCGTCGTTAAGACCTTGGTGCAACATTCGTTCCTGCACGGATACCTCTGTCTATTCTCGCGATTAAACGAGCACCCCTCGCGAAGGTGCTTGTTGCGGTTGCTCACACTTGAGAACGTCTTGGTGCATTGCGGTGTGAGACACTGGAGTCTATCGCCTCGGTTTCGGTGGTCGCGCGGCGTCGAGCGAGATGTCGTCGAACCTGCGGCGCTGCCGATGCTGCTGTTGAAGATATGAGCACGAGTCAACATTGGGACCAGGTGAAAAGCGGCCTACCTTAAGCTCGATGACGATACGTTCCGGCGGAGTTCAAGTGTGCTGAGCGACGAGAAGCTGCTCGACGGCGTGATACATGCGTCTGAGCCATGGGCTGGCGATTGTACTGTGAATGGTGAGGCAGAAAGCTCGCCAGTAGCTTGGCTGGATTGAACCGAGATGCCATGCATTCTAAGGTACTCTGCTAGTAGAGCACAGCAACGAAGATATCCCGGAGACGTAATAGTGAAGGTCTCGGTGAAGGCATTTGCCGATCCAGAGTGCAAGCCTAAAGGAATGTTAGTATACGACTCTTAAGCAGTGCGACGCTGCACTTACCCACGATCAGCGCAAGCACGATGGAGAAAGCCACCGAGAAGAGGAGCAGCATCGTGGTCGACGAGAGAACGTCCTCCCAGCCTCCATCAAATGATGACGAAGGAGCCGGCTGTCTGACGGTAGTTTCCTCAAAGCGTTCCATATGTAGAAAGTCCGCCCACACTAGATCATCGCGTTGGGTCGATGATCCGGCATAGGAGGCTTGCCCCGGTTGTGATCGGCCCGGTATCGTCTGGGCCTGAATACTACTGACTCCTACATGTGTTTCTTGGTCATCGAATGCCCTTTGTATAGCTGCAAGCCTAATTCCAGGCGATAAAATCTTTGACGGTATGGTCTCTTTGCGCTTCTCGAGTGAGATGAGGTTTTGAGCCAAGTCGTGGAAATGCGGCAGGTGTTCTGGGTCAAGTTGTGATGGTCTGTGACTTGACGGCGTGTATGCCCACATGCGGAATGCGAGCTCATCGAATAGGAGTTGCGATGATGCTGGTAGAATGGAGCGCCACCGGTCAAGGTCATCAACAAACCTAAATCAATGTTAGCTTTGGCATGCCTAGATGTAGGACTACGCATGAGGGTGCGCTCTTAGGCAGGGAATTGCGAGCAATGGCTTACTGTAGAGATAAGGAATCGTCACTGGAAAGCAACGTTAAATACGTGGCATTGGCCACCAGCAGTGCGTCGAAAACTTCCACAAGCGACGATGGCGGACTATCCTGCATCAGGCCACGGAACACACCAAGGCCACGATCCCAAACTGTATTAGAATGGACGTAATCCCCAGCTAAGTCGCGAAGTTCTTCGTGGTCCGAGCATTCGCAAGCCCCATGGAACTGAGAGCACAGTATCTCCATAGAAGAGACCAGGCTCTGCCCCAAGAGTCGCCGGCGGTGGCGAGAGCATCTCCGTCGGACTCGTTCTTTGGGGGCATTGGCCTCTCGATCGTGGCGGCGGCTACCTGGCACGCTGGTATTATCGGTATGATGGCTACTGGTCAGGCTTGGAATACCATTCGGCTGGATTCCAGTACAGTTCAGACCGGACGACACACGAGGCAATGCGGCGGTGGGAGTTGCCTCCATAATGCTCAAGCCTGCAAAACAGTCAAACGTGTCATCCGGAGCTGTCGACTGTGGAACGTCCATGACGCCAAACGCCAGCATAATTTCCATAATCTGTGTATTCTCATCAGAGACCGCGATGGCGATTGCCTCTCGTAGCCCCTCGGGTAGGGGTGTTCGCAGCAGTATCGCGCGAACAATTTCGGTCTGCCCCCAGTAGACTGCCGCCGAAAAGGGTGTCAAGACTACATGCTCTGTGCCGCCGCCCACCTCGTCGTCAGCGTAAACACCTAAAAAGGTGACCCCTTGCTGTAGAAGGTTCTCTGCTTGCTCAATGTGGCCAAGCCGTATGGCGACGTGAAGGGGGTCGTTGGTTATGTCTCGCAGGAACGGCCCGGGCTGGCTTGTGAATTTGTCTTTTGTTCGTGACGCCAGGTCTAGAACATAGCGATAGATGTCCAGTCGACGTCTGTCGAGCAATTCAAGGAGCAAGTCAGGATTTGTCTCCCACTCGACTTCACCAGTGCGGACAACAGGTTCGCATAGATCGTGTAAGGCAGTGAGATCACCAGCAAGGGCAAGCTCGGTAAACTTGGACGCCAAGGCTTCGAGGAACGCGTCATCCAGAACATCTGGGAGGAGACCTAGAGCGAAACAGGCGTCGAGGTCGTCCAAACCGGCATCTATGCTTCGTTGGTGCATGTCGTGAAGCTGACCGATAGATAGTATGCCACTCGATCGGTACGCTTCAGTGCCGATTCCAGCGAATAGTGCTCTGTCTAGGAGTAGGTCGCGGACGAGTAGACGAAGCTCGACTGTTGTAGGGTGCGATGGCGATACATTTTCCAGGTGGTGTAAGTAAGCCTTGAGAATTGCGTAGTTCTTCAAGAGATCGGTTAGGTCGAAAGGAGAGGGCATAGCAATAGCGAGTGATTGTAGTAGTGTTAAGCTCTGGTATTCAATCTCTATGGTTTTGGAAAGGCGGCTCTTGGAGACGGTGAACGCTGGCTGAGATGTTGGGGAGGAGTAGAGAGGTAGATAGACCCCTGAGCCAGGCGAAACTGCTTGGAATACTTCCCCGCTGTCACGACGAAGTTATACCTAGAAGTCAGCCAGTCTGCTCCCGGACATTCATGAAGTGCAACCCCAAGCGGGATGATAGCGACGCTGTACCTGAGAACAGATCACAATTGTAGGATCAAATGTATACAAAACTGTTTTAGGAATTGAAAAGTAAGATTGAAAAACACTGCTACATAGGGAACTTCATGATTCGAATCCTGATGAGACAAATGCATGGCGTACCTTTCAAACACTTCCGTGTAAGCGAAACACGGCGCATCATCGATAAAGTCATGGCTCATTGACGGCCCATTCGATACGAAGCTACTATTAGGCCATGATAGAGCCGCTGGGTGAGATTTGAGATTCTCATCGATATCGGCAAGGCGGAGGTTCAGACCTAGAGATGACAGAGACGCCATCTTCACGGCCTAGGACAGCATTGGCGTCAGGCAGTGGAGGCAGAGGATCAGGAGTCGGGGATTGCGTAAAGGTCCTCGCGCCAAATCAATGGGTGAGGAATATCCTCATATGCCAGCTTTGAGATATGAGGAGTGTGGTGAGACGTAAGAGAAGCCCGCCATGAAGCTGGGCGGCTTGGTATTGATGAAGGGATGCCTGGAAAGCGGCCCCGCGGATGAGGCTGACATGGTGCCCCGGAGGTGTGGTGGGTCCCCTGAATTTAGGAATCGGCGGCAGGTCACGCGCGGGGCGCCGTGGACGCTGTGACTGGGCACTAAACGTTGATTTGGAGTTGCCGGTATGCGTCGGTATGCGCGTCGAGAAACGTGATGCCGTGCAGATACGCTGCTTCAGGGCATCGGTTGGTATTGATTCGCCGCAGTAGTTGCCTTGTATAGACGACATTGTCTAGTGTGCTCTGCCTTGGCTGCCTCCATCGCGACATGTTGACGATTCCGACACCGACGTTAGGAACTGGTGCCCGCTACGATATGTAGCACGCAATGATGATGCATTCTAGGCAGACTTCTGCGCTATCGTGCATACAAACCAGTTCACGGGACTTGCTTCTCAGCCAAGGAGGAAGCGAGATACCTAAGAAGAAGAGAATGGCATATTCGTAAGTATATCAAGACGACATGAGACAAGGTACCTAGAGAGCTTCATTCTCGAACTCGCCAACCGATACGCTGGGATCCAGCGCTTACATAAGGCTCACGAGAAAGAGCTGACATAATCGGAGCACTTTAGACGCCAAATCGTGCAGACCCGCATGGCTGATTTCGGCTGCCTTTCATTGGCCAGCACCCGGTTAATTGAAATGCCCCACGACGCGACTCAACGCGTCTCCCCGGCGCCAGAATCCGTAGCAACATTTCCAACTTTCGTCTGCCCTCAACACTAAGCCCACGCAAGACTTTCCCATATCCACATGCTCACATAACGCCAACATGTTGCGACACGACTTCAACCGGATCGACCCCAAGAGGCGCAATGTCGTCGACCATCGCAAGAAGCAGTTTGCTTCCCCTGCCTACAAGGAACTCGAATACCCCCACAGACTCAACTTTTACACCGACGCGCCGACGGCCGACATTACTCTCGAACAATTCGAACAATGGGCCATTGACCGGCTAAGGGGTGCGTCTACCAGTCTTATCTCTGTCTCTCGCCGCCACTAACAACATCCTCAATCAGTTCTTGCCGAGTTGGAGGCCTGCGCGTTCCGCAACAAATCCCCCCAAGAAGTCGCGAACCACATGAAGCCGCTCCTCGACAAGTACCTCCCGCTCGAGTCCAACACCTCGCACTCGCCAAAGCTCTTCGCCCAGCGTCAAAAAGATCACTACAGTCACTTCATTCTCCGCTTAGCCTTTGCCCGAACTGAGGACCTCCGCCGTCGCTTTACTCGCGTGGAGACGATGCTTTTCCGCTTGCGATTCAACAGCGACGACATGAGCGAACGGGCGGCCTTTGTCGGTAGCCTGGATCTTGACTGGTGGGAAGCTGTTACCGATGATGAGAAGCGCGAGTACTCGTCCGAGCTGGCGGCCATGTCGCGCGGCTGGGGCAAGACGGCTTCGACAGAAGACGACACATGGTTCAAGGTTGACTGGGCCCGGGTCCCGGAATTGGTGGAGCAGCGCAAGGTGTTCTTGAAGGCAGGCAAGGCGTTTGTACCAGGGAGAGAACAGGCCAGCATGGTGAACGGAGAGTTCGTCTCGCGGTTGGAGAGACAACTAGAGGTGGGCTCACGACCCGGCCACAGTGTCTGGCGAATACTGACGTTGAACAGCTTACCGCACGCGCTCTTCCCCGACTCGACGAAGACGACCGTCTGACCCCGATCCTCGACCACCTCTCCAAGAACTTCATCACACCAGACAGCTCATACAGCTCAAATACCGGCGCCCCGCCCGGCGCCGAGATCACCGCCCGTAACATTGACAACCTCTCACAACACTTCCCCGCCTGCATGTCGCACCTCCACCGCTCACTGCGCCGTGACGCCCACCTCAAGCACTTTGGCCGCCTGCAATACTCTCTTTTCCTCAAGGGCATCGGCCTGAACCTCGAAGAGTGCCTTGTCTTCTGGAGGCAGAGCTTCCGTAACATCACAGACGACACATTCAACAAGGAGTATCGTTACAACGTGCGTCACGTTTACGGCGACGTCGGCGGCGACTCGAACCGTCGCGGAGGTGGCTACAGCCCGTTCAGCTGTCAGAAGATCCTGACCGAGCACCCGCCCGGCTCGGGCGAGGCCCACGGCTGCCCCTACCGCCACTTCAACTTGGAGAACCTGACCACTCTGATGCAAGGCATGGGTGTGAGCGACCGAGCCACATTGCAGGGCGTCAAGGAGGATAAGGAGAACCAAAAGTTCCATATGGCGTGTAATCGGTACGTCTCAATGCTCCGTTTTGTTTTCTACCGTTTTTGGAGACCATTGGCTAACATGCCTCCAGCGTTTTCGAGCACTTGCACAAGCAGGAACTTAAAAAGGCAAAGGACGAGGGCGTGTTCACGTCTGCACAACTCGAGACAATCGTCCATCCCAACGAGTACTTTAAGCGCAGCTACCTCCTCAAGAACCTCGACAAGGCGACAGATGTCAAGATGGAGGGGTGAGCGTAGCCTGATGCCTCATAGTAATAGTATGCCTTGTGACTCACGACAGAGTCTCCTACGGCCAGTGGTTCGAGAGTTTTCTCTCGAGGCAGGGACTTAGCTCGAGCAAGCGTACAGCTAAGCTTTTCTGCCACAAGGCTTGTGTTGATAAGCTCGCCGACGGAACATACCTGGGGGTGGGAAGCGGCTGCCTCACTAACGAAGCGTGTGGCTTGATGAAAGAGATGGGTTCCACGACGGTCTGGACCCTGTTGCCAGCGAAATGCTGCAGCAGAGAGTGTCGGAGGAGGAAGGCGTTGGATAATGATGGCAAATGTCTTTTCGCGAAACTACCTTGTGGCGATAAATCGGCGTTTATTCTACTTTAATTTTTTTGATGAAGGATTGGGTAGGGTTCGCGAACGCGCGGGCGGGAGGGAAACTTGATGTCATGGTTTAGGTTCGTTTCTTGCGGAAAGTGTAGTTCGAGGACAGCAGAAAGGAAGAGCCATCCGAAGTATTCCTTGTCTCTGAGTGAAAGGCTTGACATCTCCCACGTGTCCCGCCGTGTCTCGTTTCAAAAAGGAGACGGTGAAGCAGATGGAGGAAGAAAGCCCAAAGCTGGCCAATGTTTCCGCCTTGATCGGAACCAGAGAGACCGACGAAGGAAGCTCTCCGTCGGGAACAACCCATCGGTCTCGTTCCCGTTCTCCTTGTCATGATCAAGCTCCCTCCTCTCCCTCCCATCTCTTGCCTTTGTCTTTTGCTCTCGGCTCGCTCGGTGACTTGACGGAAGTTTGAGGTTTCACGATCACGATCGGACTAATGCTAGACTCGCGGACCATACCGTGGTGGATTTACTGGGGTTGAGAAGGGCGGAAAATGACTAAAAAACGGGACCGTTTGTGTTTGGTTTCTGCCTTTCAACTCTTTTGGGAGGGGACTGACAAACAAAGAAAGGTCATGGACCTTGGGGTTGGATTGTGTCAGAGAGAGACATACAGAGACTATCTAGGTCTAGATTCAGGTCGACTCTGCGGAAGTTCCCCTTCTACACTACCTAAAGCATCACTCCTCCAACATGAAGTGCTCTTTAGTAGGGAGCCAGGGAGAAGAAACAAGCCTTTTGCTGCGAGCTGCGAGTTTAATTGGAATAGCCTTCATGAAAGCTGGGTAAGGGTAAGTCTTCAGAGAAGGGGCGTGCGAGCGTGCATGCGGGCAGACGGTCTTGTCTGTTCCTGTCCGTCCGTCTGTCTGGGAGTGGTTATCTAATGGAAGCCCCGGATGCCACGGCACTCTCGGGCATCACGAGATGCGGACCTGCTCGAGAATCCGCGGCGTCTGGTGACAGTTTTATGGTTTCTTTAGCATGTCGCCAGGCAAGATCATCACAAATCCCGAAGCAGCTGGCGCGGAGCCGGGTGCTTTTCGTTCGTGCACGCGGGAGCGCTTGCAGGTCGAATCAATCCGATGTGAACATCTCTTCTCAATTCTCTTGCGGGCTTGTCATTTGCTCGGGAGGCTTCAGGGATGTGTTTGCGATGACTCTCTACTATCCCCGATGGCTGTTTACTGGCACGAAACGTGTGATCACCCGCTTGGACTATGGTTGCCCTCTGCCTCGGATCTCCGTCTGGTCTCTCCGTATGGTATCGTGAGGCCTCCCCTGCAAGTGGGCAGAATTTGGTGGACGAGACCAGACTTACAGAGTCCGGGCTGGAGCTGGGGCGATAGGGCTACCCACGGCTTTTGCGGGAGGTGACATTCTGTCTGGAGACCATTTG